CTTTGATATTTTGGTGCCACGATTGAGCAATAACAGGAACCGACAAATGCTTTTTATGTGCATGGATCTACTATACCCTTAACAAGCAATATTGGCCCCAGCACCTCCACAGACTCTTTACTCTTTTTACATCGAAATCGAAGCCTGTTCAGGACGCTTCATTTTGAACGCTTTCATTTTACTGTAATTACCCAGGCATGTGAGAAATAGCTAAACAATTGCCTGCGCAACAATAGAGATGAAATAAAGATAGCCTCTAATTAATTCCAGCTAGGTTATAATTAATTTTGACTGAGTTGCTCAGGACAATATCCCTAAGTCCTGTCGGCTTCCCTAAAGAGGCCTGAGTGCCAGCTGCTGCGCTTTGATTTTGGGAGCAGATGGGGCTATTTTCAGCAATTGCTTGAAAGGAAATGATGAGGATGAGGGCAGAGAGTGATTGATTGACTCCAAAAAGGCCCTGGGGTAAGACTGAGAGGAGGAGTGCTCTGAAGTCTAGTCTCTGCCAGGCTCTTTTAAAGACTTAGAATGAAGAGACTGTGTTGTAGGTTGCTTTTACATTTATAAGAATCTCTTTGCTATTCTGCTAGCAAAAATAAAAATCTGCGTTGTGCAGTTATGCCAGGGAATGCTTTATCATCTGCTTTGGGTCACGGTGGTGCTAAGTGCAGTGAGGTAGGGCAGGCATGTGGATGCTTCTGCTCCGTGGCTTGGGGAAATGGAAGATCAAAAATATCTATCAGATCATTACCCTGGTTCTGTCTGTCAATGGCAAAATATTCTCTGCTTCATTATATTGTGAGCGGTGGTGAATAACTCATTAAAACTAATTAATCTGTGAAATTCTGCCACTTCCTTTGTTTGCTGACAAATTGTGAAGTTCTAAGATGGATTTATTGTTAGAAATAATTCATAGATTTTTGTAGTAAATAAATCCCAGCTTGCTGGTTGGCTTTGCTCCTTGAAAGTAGTGGATGTATAACCCGGCAGTTCTCAAGCAGCGTGGTATTTAAATTTCTTGATTGGGTAACTTCTAGAACTAGCTAATAACAGGATGTGCTTTTAGTCACACACTTGAATGTAAAAGGTGAAAATTAAGGTTGGAAATTGTTTTTCTGTGGCTAAATCTAGTATAGCACTTGTGTAAAAACAGAGCGGACACATGCAAGCTTTGCGATGAAATTTTAAAAGCTGCTAACCTCTCCATGCAAATGTTCCTCACTATGTCTGCTAATTTTGTTAATTCTGCTAGTGGTGGCTTTTGGGTTTTTGTTCAGGAAGGCAGACATGATGATGCTTCTTGATGTGCTTGCAGTCTAAACAGGTGAAACACGGAGAGGAAAATCCCACGAGGGAACTGAGAAACCTCTTTCAAATGAAGCAGAAGGGAGTTCAGCAGCTGACTTCAGCAGAGATGGTACAATTTTATTTACCCACCCTAATCATAATCCGGAATTTTATAATCCTGCCAAATGTATATTTGCCTTTGGAAATAAATGAAGACTAGAGCTTTTTTTCCGTGTCCTTCAGTTGTTCTTCATTAGCAATACGGTGCATCCCTCAGTTCTAACCACAAGCCCCGTGAAGAATCACACGGACAACTTATCTCCAGCAACTTCCAGGCAGCCTGGGCACCTGGAAGTAAAAGCAGAAGACACATTAAACCATGGAAATGGTCTGATCACAGGGAGCTTTTCTCTAGCCACAATCTTGACAAACTTCTAAGCTTACTGCCTTTTTCTAGTGTATTGCTGAGACAGGCAGAAGAGATTTCAGTCTTTCACCTGTGAATATTCTTTTTCACACAGCTTCCAGTCAGGAACTTGGAAAAGGAACTTGGTCTGGTTGTGGAGACGGATATGGGAATGGGAGCTGGATGGGGCCACTCTGCTGCACGCGTTGGCTGCCTTGGTGCTCGTTGTGCTCCTCACAACCCATCTTGCAGTGTTGATACGTTCCCTCTGATGCAGAATGACACCAGAATGGCATTTCAAGCTGCAGTCGCTGAAACCTAAGGCATTTTATGGCATCTTCTTTGTACCTCCTTTGTCCACTTGAAACAGGTTTTTCAAATATAAGGAGCTTACTTAGCCCAGGGTTTAAGGCTATTTTTATCCATGAAATGTGCGTAGAGAGAAGGCATTCAGAGACAGAGCACAACACTGTTCCTTATCTATTTATTTAAATTATTTTTCCCAATGTCTACTTTATGTGTGAGAGAGGTGAAAAGATTTGCTAGTAAATCTAGGGCAATTCAGATATCATTCATATCCCCACTGGGCTGGTTTGGGGGACAAAGAGGCCCGTTTGCTGGCAAAAGCCCATGGGGTAGTCGAGTCAAATTGCTGAAACCCCAGTGCTTTGCAGGACACAGATTTCTACCAGCTGACATTCTGGGTCTGGCTTTCTGAGATTTTTATTGAATCCTAGGAAATGCATGTGGAAATTCCTCCTTTGCAAATCACTGCTCCGGTGGAGTATTAAATGAGAACCTCTCACAGCAACCTTGCCAACAAGGTACCCGAAATTGCCATTACATTGTTACATTACATTATTTTTATTATTATTCCAGCAGTATATCCTAGTGCAGGATCTTCTTAACACACAGCCACATCCCTAGTACGGCTTGGGGCTCAACAGCTCCCCGTAGCTTCAGTGCCCTTCACTCCTTCCTGGTTGAAGTGTCCACCTGGGTGCTGTATTTCAGGGGTGAGCTGTGTGGAATTAAAACCATAACAGCAGAGACGACTGAGGTTCTTCATCAGGCTTCACAGAGCAGCCCGGCTCTCTGCTAAAAGCCAGTTTTGCTCCACCTTAAATGGAGAAGCGAGTCCAACCCCCTTGTGAGCTTTTAATCACTCCAATTACAGCATTTTTCCTACGCTGGCAGCTGGTGCACACGGGAGCCCCTTGGTAAGACTGATGTAAGAGATAGACTTGGCTTTTTGTCTTGCTTTTCCTCCCCAGCAAACACCCATGGCACCGAAGCAACACGCAGCGCTTTGCCCGGCCGGGCGCTTGGCGGGTTCACCCAGCAGATGTTGAGTGTGGTGCCCACTACAACGCGAACAGCAGCTGCCCTCCCGGAGCCCAGGAGGTTGTAATAACCCGGCAGGCTGTTGTAAAGCTGCTGCATTGCAAAGGAGCTGGCTTGGAAGAGCTGTGCGTGTTGCAGCTGGAGGTTCAGCAACGCAGACTCGTTGGATTTTGAGTCAACATCAGGTCAACTCTGAGGGAGCAGAAAAGAAAAGTACGTGAATCTGAAGGAGAAAATGTGTTCTTCAACCCAGCTAAAGGGGCAAAACTGTCTCAAACATTAGGGCAGGTTCCAGTACTTGGACTCACAGCCTTGTTCCCTTGCAACTTCTCACTGGCAGCGCTGTGCCAACATTTTAAGCAAGAATATTGTAGAGGTTTTGCCCACTGGAGTTGGGCTCTTTCCCCTCCTCAGCATCACAACATGTTCCAGCATTTTCACAGAAAATGTCACCTCCTAATTATTTTATAAGCTTAGAGTCAAAATCCAGTCCCACTACACTCAAGAGTTTTCCCTGCAAGTGTAATTTGCCTTTTTAACACTCCTGTCCCAGAGGTAGATCCTGTTGCTCTTACAAAATGCAGTACCGAGGTCTGAATAAGGGCTGTGCCTTCCACCCCCTGTCACCTCTGCTGATGGGACAGCGGGTGAGGAACCAGCCCGAGGCCACGGAGCGGGGTCATCATGTGGTTTGTGTCTCAGCAGCAATGCCACTTTGTGCAACTCTGCTTGACCCTCCAGTGACCTAGACAGGGGAACTGGTTAGGCTGAAAATTAATCTCTTTTTTTCTCTTGCTCTGTATTCACCCAGCTCATTTCCTTGGTTTAACTAACTTTACCTGTCATGTTTTTTGCTCTGTAGCCACTTGCTTGGTCCCATCTTGGGTACCTCTTTATGGTGGCATAAATTTTCCCTTAACATTTATACCCCTACATTTGCATATGTAAATAACATGCTTACACCAGGCTCTGTCCATCAGGTGAGCGTTATGATTAGCAGAAGATTCAGAGAAATCCTTTGCAGAATCCACAGTGCAGAACAGCTCAGGCAAGGGCCTTTTATCATATTTTATTCTTCATGTGCTGAGTGCTGTTCAGATCGATCTCCCTCTCCCAAAGTGCAACGTGAAAAGTGATTCTAACCAACCCACTCACTTTGATGTCCTCGTCCCAATACACACAAGGAATTCCTACACAGCTAATATTTTTCCTGCCTTTAAGAAAAAGCCTTTTCTTAATTTGCTGTGAGTCACAGTGGATGTTGCCAGTGGCTCCATCATTACACAACGCACCATTTTGCTTCCTGCAGGCATTCGCCCCAGGATTGTCACTTGGGAGAAACTGGAGAACTTCTTCTGAACTTCCCATGAGCAAAAGTAAATGGAAACAATCTGGAGAATTGATGATACTAAAAGAAAATGCTATAAACTAATTAGGATTAGGATTAGAAAAACTTGGGTTTTTCCCTGACATTGTTTGATCAAGCTTTAAAGAACAAAATGTACAGTATTTGTTCTTATGTGATTATGTTTAATGAATATGTTTAAAATCCTGTGTATGAAATAACATTATCAGTTCATTAGCGCCCTTATGGGTATGATGGGATAATAGACAGTAACAGCAGTTACTGTATTGATCCTATTACTTCTAAATTAAAAGGTGCAATGGAAAAATAGGTAGAAAAATGAAAATATTCTCTGGGCATAAATCCAAAGTAGAATAATTTACCCACATAGAAATATTTCCTGTTGTTGTAGTATTTCTATATGCTAACATGTGAACATCAGCACATTCCCAAAGAAAGCAGAGGGACTGCAGGAGCAGCCCATTGGAGCTGCAGAAGAGAAGCAGGAGGGGAGGGAAGGTGACTGTAATTTGTTGATTCTCACCAATTAATTAGCTCAAATTAATTAGGCTACAAGATTATCATCACCAAATACTAAACTGGGGGGTTGTTTTACCCTTCCAGGCTAAAGAGCTGGAAGGAACAGAGGAATCCTGAGGAGCCTTGGGGGAGCAGTAGGTGGGGATGAACCTTTGCTGGAGGCTCAGCGTGATTTTCTGTTCCCCCTGTTATGGCTGTTGTATATTTATGTATAAATTCCAGCCTTCTTCCTGAAGTCCTCATCTTTTCTGCAGGACTCAGGGCTGCTGCAGAGACCTGTTCTCTTTGCTCATGTGAAAAGGCACCACGAAATGACTGCTCTGCTCTTGACACGCTGTGGATTCACAGGTAAGTGTTGTCTGGACACTGTGTTAAGTACAAAGGCCCTCCAGAGTAAAGACCTGCAGAGTTTTTTGCTGAATCTCACAATGTACATGAAGGAGAGAGCACCAGGTCTCTTTTTCTGTCTGCAGGTGTAGTAACTAATATTGTCCATCCCTTTCCTGGAAAAGGGAAGGTGGGAATAAGCAGCTGTAGAATCCTCCTGGGCAGATGTCCCATCACAAATGCAGTTAGTTTAGCTCTCCATCATGGAAAATCAAGGAATAGGAGACTTCCTTATTGCCAGTGCCCAAGCAGGAGCTTAGCAGCTAGCAGGAACGACAGCTCAGGTTATTAGTGTATTTATAATAAAGTCTTTTAAGTCCGCCACAGGGAAGGATTTGTGAGTCAGCAAATAGAGCAAATCAGTCTGTAAGGCTGGGCCAGCACAGAAAGGAAAATTATCAGGGATTATTCAGCACTGAAATGCCTGAGTCTGCTTCCATTTCCTTTAGCAATAACTATTGTTCTGTGAATAAGAGGTCTGTTGAGTTTAATTTCTTTGAAAACCAAGTGCACAGAAGGCAGAGAGAAGTGTTGCTTTGTGACAGATTATCATAAGGCAGGTCAGCCTGACTGGGTTGGCCTGAACACAGAGACCAAGTGTGTGCAAGGAACTCCTACCAAATCACTGGTCATGCAAAGGTTGCTGCACGCTTGCCCTTTTAACCTACATATGGAAACATATCCTGCCTTATGGATATATATTGTGGTAGGTTTGAGGGAACTGAATGACTTTCTAATAGGTTTACAGGAGGCCTCGTAGGAATGAGAGCCCTTAATCCTGCTCAGGCTGGAGGTTCCTTGCAGGAATGAGCCTGCACGGGCCCAAAGGCACAAAGAGGTATCTAGGTCTCAGCTGTCTGGCAGTTAGTAGCAATTTTTTAAAGCTGCAAGACTTCTGGGTTTGTGCTTTGTTTTGCTTTTTGTTGCTATTAAACCTCAGGCAACAAATGACATACCTTTACTGTTATAACTAACCAAAAAACACGAGCTGAATGCTGCCATGAAAAGGAAAGATTTTTTTAAGGACACTGATGCCCAACTCATGCTGAAAGTTGGCTGGAAGGTGATGCTTAATTCACATTAACACCCTTACAGGCTTTTGCTAAACACGAATCCTAATTACTTGTGCTCACTGATGGACCCGTTCTGCTTTTCTTAGCAGTAGTAATCCAGGTAACCTGGACCAACTCCAACTTGGTAATTATGTTCTCTTGACCTAAATTCTTCCTGCTCTTTCAAATGGATACTATTCTTGGGCTGATATCCTATATGAGCAATTGGTGTTATATGCACTCTTAAAGGCTTTCTGTGTTTCACCTGAGTTAGCTCCATGTCCCTGGAGATACAGTCAATATTGGATACGTTATGTTTATGTATTTAAAAATCCTTTTATATGAATAGTCTGGAAGGGGAATCAGTAAACTTAAATTACATTTTCTGTTATCTAAATAGAATTATTTTTTTTGAGTTCATATGTTTCAAGTATGTGTTAGATAGTTAAGATATGTGCCCTGTGATGTGAGTAGTGAGTGACTTTTATAGGCAATCCTAGGAGGTCAGTATTTCTTGGCATTTTTTGCACATTCAGAGACTGTTCACAATTTTATTAAATTTATGACTGGTGATAATTTCAGTTGCACATTTGCAGCTTCATACATATGAACAGCAGAGTGCAATAAACAGGTGAATTCTGCTCGAATTTTTATGGAGAGAAATATGCATTTGCTTTCACTGTTGTGCTATTCATTTTGCCACATCTCTTTTATCAAAAACACTTTACTGAACCTTGTCCTTCAGCTGATATTTAGACTTTTCCTGCCCTTCTTCACGTGTTGTGACTTGTTAGCTCTTTCCTATGGCCAGAGTTCCTGACGCTTGCCCGGACAGGCTTCCTCCCCACTGTATTTACAGCTGAAGTTGGGCAAGCACTGGAGAACAATACGGGAAGCAAAGTTCAGGTATGAATATCTGACACAAAGAAATGAATGTGGGCAGGGATCAGAAGGGAAATCACTGTAAAAGCCTTGAGTTGAAGAAGGGTGAGAGGAAGTTGGGGGCTTACTGGAAAGGATGTGAAAAGCTCCTGCAGCTAAGAGACATTAGGCTATGAGAGCACTCCATGGGAGGAAAGTGGAGAGGTGAAGTGGCAGTTTTTAAAAAGAAGAGAAGAAAGATGGAGCCATGAGGTGAAAGGACAAGGACTGGGGCTGGAAAGAGGAAATAGCACAAAACCACTGCCAAGAGGAAGCTGGCAAAAATCCAGTCATGACCAGGAATGCAGCCGTGCTGACGCTGCCACCAATTTTAGTGTGACACTTAGTGAGCTGCAGCCACTCGCACTAAAACCTTACTGGTTTATGTCAGGTCATGGCCACAGGGCCATTACGTTTTCATTAACCTAGTGAAACCCATGAATTAGATGCCTTCAGTTATATAAATCTTCTTCTTTGCCCAGATACAAGCACTGTTGTTTTTTGGAACAGTCAAACAAAGTGGGATGCAGAAAATGGGCCAGGTCATTCCCTGATGCATTAACCATGGATGAACCTGACCCAAAATGTTTTAAAATCGCATTTCCTTCTCTCTGTGACTAGCAGAAGTCTGAGTTATGAATGCTGGAGCCAAGTGAGGCTACTGATTCCTTGGAATGAGGACATTATGTACTTAGAGCCACTTGCAGGAGACACGGGAATGATTGTAGTTCCTAGTTCGGTATCTGGAATAAAGCACTCCTGGGATTTTGGAGAGGGCTCGAGATGGTAATTGCAACGTGTTGCTGCAGCACTTTGCGGGTATCTGGCTGTTCCTTGCAGCCAGGGCAGAGCCCTCGTGATGCTCTCGGGAGGCCAGCGTGATTGCACAAGTAAGAAGAGGCTCTATAATCACTTTCAATTGGCTTCTACAATTGGGTTGCTGCAGGTTTCAGGTCCTGCATAAATGTAGCAGGTTAATTGGGTTTTATTTCCTCTGCACTTCAGTGAGAAACGTAGGAAACCCTCTTGCAAATCAATCTACCTTGAACCGAGTGGGTTTCTTAGCGTTGCCAGTTTGTTGCCTTTGCTTTTGTTTTGGAATAGGGTTGTGCCACAGTCTGGAGAAACTTCAGAGACCAAAGACCTTTGGTGTCCCAGAGCACCTGGTGTGAGCACAGCTTTGAAAAGACACAAGCAGCCAGAGATGAGTAGTAGTTTCTGAGAAGAGGAACTTCTTCCTGAGAAAGAAGAGAGGCCCTTTTGAAGGGGAAATGAATGCTGAAGCAAGGCTCAAAAACACGGTCACACGCTGTTGCTGCCATCAGGGTGGGGTGCAGGAGGAAACTTTCACAGCGTAGCTTTCACAACTGCAGCATCGTTAAATGCTTAATGATAATAAGCACTGTGGTGTCAGCATGAGCATGTCTTTCTCCAGCATTATTTTATCCTTGAGGAGCTGAAAGGATGGCCCACACATGTTCACTAACTGCTGGGATGTTATATCCATCCTTAAGACATAGTGACTATAGGAGAAAGCAGAGAGAACTGACGCGCACAAAAGGTGTTTCTTGGCCAGCCTCAAAGGTCAAAGGAGCTGCTGCTTTATTGAAGGGGAAGGTTCCCTCACATTCCTTTTCGTACTGATGAAAAGTCACTTAGGGAAAATCTTTTATCTGGGCTGCTTAGGTCAAGGAACTGACATCAGAAGTTGATATTTTGCTCCTATTTCTTGCACATCATCTGCTCTTTTATGTGATTATGCAATAAACTCAGTGCAGGTTGGAGTTCATGTAGAAGATATGTGTGTGTCTCCTGGGCAATGCAAAAAAACAGCAATCATTTACATTGAGCAAATGCCCTGCTAAGCAGTTTCCATAGAGACAGCACGTTAAATGAACTCTTCCTCGTTTTTATTTCTCTTCTAGAATTTAAATCAACATCTTTTGCATTCTCATTGGTTTCTTCTTGTTTCTGTTGAATATGAGAAAGGTGCTGAATTGCTAGTCCAGTCCTTGCCTCTAAGGTCTATGAACAAACTGCTTCTCCTTGCCCTCCTGACCTGCTGCAAGCCAAGGGCGCAGGCTCCATCCCACCCTCTCTGGGGCTGAGCCCAGCTCAGGCTGCGGAGCCCTCCGCTTTGTTCCTTAGGCTGTGCTCACACCGCTTCCTGTGGAGAAGCACAAAGGGATGAAAGAGCTGCTGGGGTTTCCTGCTCCGCTCGGTGCTGCCTGCGTCTCTGAGAAGCACTTGAGTTATTTTGCTCACGTTCTTATCAGATCAGGCAGCTCTTTCTGAAGAGATTCAAAACCGAATTTCAAGTGGCCATAAAAATTCAGATTAAAGTTGTTCTGCGGCTTGTAAAAGTATCAGTTGCCAAGGTCTGTTCTTGTGTCAGGCTAGTGCAAAGCGATCTGGAGATAGCTGAAACCCTGGAGAAGCTCTTTGCAAGCCTGGTGAAAAAGATGCAAGATTCCTTTGCACCTTGGATATGTCCTCTGAGATGCCACCATCTCCCTTGGACTCTCCCTGCCCATCTGATGAGGGTCTTGATGGTTTTGGCTGCTACAGTAAATGCATATTGTTGTGCAGAGCTCGAAGGGTACCGGTACAGTTGGGATGTGGGTTGCAGCGTGATTTTTGGGGGTGTTGTTTGCACTCTGAGATCACAGTCTAACTGCACCCTCGCTGCTGGCACCAATGAGCTTGGCAGCTCAGGCCCTTTGACTCTTAATTTCCTCTTGCTGTTTGGGGGAATTAAACTGTTGCAGTGACCAGTATTAATAGACCCAGTGAAATGTCAGGCAGACTCATTGAGTATGAGCAGAGAAAAAAAAATCCTGATTGCGGCTGCTCTCCTGTTCTTGGTTTGACTGGAATCTTTCCAGGAGAAGAAAAACTCTGGCAAAAGCCAGACTAAAGAGACCGCCAAGAAGAAAACAAGTTTTTTAAATGTGCAAGGAGATCAATGTGGTTCAGGTGACTGCAGTTTCGCATTATAACAGCCCTAAAAGGGCCTGGTTGTACAAGTCACTGGGTGAAGGCAAGACCTTTGTCCCAGAGCATGTCCCTCCTCCCAAGAACTGCTTTGCTCAGGAGATAAAGGCACAGAAACGAGGTGACCTCATGGGACTTCTTTATCCGACCTCCAATGTACCATCCCCAACGTTAACATCTACTCTGAACCTGTTTCCTGTTCTGTGCTGTTCTGTCACCCAGGGCGCAATAATTCTGCAATTACTGCGGCCTGGAGGAAAGGGAAATCCGTCTGCTGGATGCTCTGTGTCCATAGGACTCTTCCTGACGCAGGTTTGGAAAGGCTCCACCTGGCACCTCCCTTCCGTGCCCGAGTGCTGACTCCCAAGCAGCAGCAGAGTCAATCCAAGTGCCAAATCCCAGCAGTCTGCCCCGTTTAGCTCCCAGCAATTAACCACCTTGCAGAAGGGACAGCTAAACCATGTGTGACACAGCATCCTGAATCATGCTGTAGCTTGTAGGTCCTGATTCTCAAGTCGTGAAATTAAAGCTATTTACTTATATATGCAAGGCCAAAAAAGGGTGATTCAGGAGCCTGAGAGAAGCGTGGAGCTGAATGTTGGGGAAGGAGAGGCATCGACTGTCTGCACGTAGCCTGTCTGCACTGATAAATCAGCACCCAGATGCCACATAATCCTGCACTAGACTCCCTCACTCCAGCAGTGAGTGTCCTCCTGAACCTGTATCATATGGACATACAGAGAGCCACCCTTCTCAGTTCTCCTTGCCATTAGTGTGCATTACTAATAGATGATGGTGTCCGGGGTCTTTAGCTCCCTGGTTTGATCCCATTTGTCATCAAGCAGTGCAATCAGATACCTCTCCCAGTAATTCCGAGAAGACAGTTCTTGTTGTCACGGCACTTAGAGCAGGAGTATTCTTTTGCTTTTCCCAAAACTTACACCGAATTGCACTGATGAGAGGGAGAGACATGAAAGTGAGAAGCATTTCATTGTGTTGTAGGAAGCCACCCTTCTGTTTCCAAGGAAAAGAAGGCTTTCCCTTTGGATCCGGGGCATCCAGTTCAGCTAGGAATGAGTGGAGATTCCTAATTAAACTCTGCCTTTTTGCTCGCATCTGGTCAATCCATGTTGTTTGTGCAGAGTGATAAACAGCAGCACATAACTCTGGCTCAAAGGGACCTGGCATCCAGGGTAGGGGGATATTTTCACTCTGTAATTTTATGATTCTGTTGACTTTCAAAATGCAGTTAGAAGCACTTTCATATCTTCAAAGTGCTTTACAGATACTATCTCAGTCTCCTAGGGAGAAATAATTGGGATCAGATAAGTAAGTGATTTAATTTAATGATTAAAGAACTCAAAGCTCAGGGAAATTAAAGACCTCATCCCAGGCTAAATCAAAGCAATGGAAATGTGCTGGATCTTGGATTTATCAAAGGTCTCTTGTAGGAAAAACTAAATATCTCCACTCTAAGATGGTATTTGGAGCTGAGCTGGGATCCCTGGGGAACAGGGTTCACTGCTTTTGTTGCCAGCCTCGTGGCAGGACTGGCAATAGCTGGTGCTGGGAAAAACACCCGTCTTCCAGTCCCTCCTTGTACCCATTTGAGTCCTTCCACTGGGACAGCTGATGTATGGGCATTTTGCCATGTTTTCACCTCTGCAACTGTCCTAAATTGTAGTTTACTGCCCTGAATTATTACCTGCATTGCCCTGGGTAAAGCCAGCTCTGGTATAGCCATAATTTGCCAATGTTACCATATTGGGAATATACATGAAGAAATAAATTAGCAGGAGGAGCTGCCGTGTCCAAGATAGATGCCCAGTTTACCATTTAACAGACTAATTCTCACAAAGATCTTGGCTTATTTGGCTCCATGGGATGCCAGTTGGATGAAAATATTTCTTTCTGGATGGTGGTTACAAAAGAGTAGGAGGACATAAGGTCATAGAAAGCTAAAATCTTTGCAAGAGCCAAGTGCTGGTTTGAATGCGCTTCTTTCTTTCCAGATCTTCAGCTATTCCCTGCATGCCTAGAAACACTTTCTCAAGGACCAATTTTGAAGTGGTGCAGCACAAGAAAAACATTCCTTCTTCAGAGAGCCCTGAATACTGATTTACTACTGGCAAGTTTGGGGGGAAAAAGAAAGATTCACAGTGGCCCCTTTCACTAGTTTTTTTTTTTCTGTCCTTTTTGCATTTAATAATGTGTCGAATTAGGGTTAAAGTGCTCTGTTTTCTCCACTCTGCTCTGGCTTTGATGCTGTTCAAGACCTACCAGCTGCTGCCTTTCTGTATATCTGCTCAGATATAAGAAGGTCTCAAAGGCATTTTGCAAAGCCGTTAATTAGGGAGTGTTAAACGAGTGACAAGCGAGGAGAGGATGTAAACACAGCAGGCATTATATCCACCACAACATCCTACGTCCCAGCACTGGCACCAGTTAAGACGTGGTTATTTTATGCCTGCCTGGCCAGGTCACAGCAGACAGGGACCAGAGTGGCTTTGAGAACCCTCTTCTCTTGTGATTCGTGCAGTTGGCCGACCTTGGTTAAATCTCTCACATATCAAACATCCGAGCACTGCTTGCATGAGAAACTTTCTTGCTTTAGGACCCCGTTAGTGGGTAGTATGGGCTTGACTATTTCCTAGGGAAACTTTCCCAAATTCCAGTGCCCAAAGATGCCCTGGCCATGCATGCAGAGGGGAGCCTTGACTGTAGTGCAGATTGGAATAATCTCAGAGCCAGGAAAGGTTTTGTGTCATAGTGACAGTTCCTTTGACCAAGTTATGCCTTTTAGAGACATCTTTGAGACCTGCCGTTGTCTTCAGAGAGTTCCTTCAGGAGCATCTCCCTCAGGAGATGAGGTAGATTGTACACGGAAATTAAACAGAATGACCCAGAAGATGTTTGGACCATTTGTAGAGCACACACTGCAGGGTATTGTGTAATTTTTATATATTCCTTCCCTGGGTGAATTCCTTTAGTGATAGCAAGTTTTCCAACCTAGGATGTAAGACTGGGAATGCTCTCAAGTTCTGAATGGTCCTGTACTGAAACAAGTGGCTCTAATCAGCAGAAAGATTTTCCCAGAGATCTTATTAAAGAAGAAGTTTAGCTGAGCCTCTCCCTGGCCTTTGGCACTGCACATACGTGTTTATGTCCATGTCCATGTAAATTTAATGTAATTAATTGCATCTGGGGTGAACTTACATGATTAATATCTACATATGTAATCGAAGGAATCAACATAGAAGAAGAGTTATATCAGCCTAGTATTTAAGGCTGTTTCAGGAAATTATACTTTCTGTGCAGCAATAGTCTAAGCCGTAAGCAAGACTTGACCTGTTCAGGCGGTAGCCTTGATTTTTCCTTGCACCCAAGTACAGATATAAAAGAGTCTATAGTAGCTGCATAGAAATTGTTTTGAATCAGCACTTCCTTTTCTTGGTGTAATTTAGAGCTGTGACTTAGTTACTGGAACTGTAGCAGAAATTCCCTTAAGCCAGCAAAGAACCAGACAGAGCAAAGTTCAGCTTCGTCCTCTTCCTTCTTGCCTCCTGCACTGATCTCCCCTGGATCCTCCTGCACAAGAAACTTGTGGGGGCTGCTCATGCTCATTCCAGACCCAAGAAATGTTTGATAAAGCTAAAATATATACAGAAGACAGCAAAAAAATAGCAATATTCTCTTTTACTTTCTAATTTTAGCATTTTTTTCTTCTTCCCCCACTGTCTTCTCAGTCTTGCTTCTCTTTTCCTTCCTCATTTATTCTATGTTCTGGTTTTTTTTTTTTTTTTTTTTTTTGTTGAATGACGTACCAATTCCTGAAACAGGCACTAAATAAATAAAAAGAGGTAATACCTGTTCTTTTTTCTTTTGTAGTAGTCTCCTTCACGTAGGCAAAGGTTTTCTGCACTGTATTCTGTAATTAACTTATCTTTG